CCCGTGATTTCATTTAGCTTAACATAATCCACATGGCAGCATCTGTCAGAACTTCATTCCTCTCCATAGTGGAGTACATATTCCATTGTATGGGTGTACTACATCTCTTCTATTCTTGAACTGATAGACATTTAGATTGTTTCTGCTTTTTTTTTTTTTCCCCAGGGGGCTATTATGATTGGGGCTGCTGAGATAATTCACTGTAAGTTTTTGTGTGGACGTACATTTTCATTTCTCTTAGGTAGACACTCAGGAGGAAATTGCAGAGTCATATGGTAAATTTATGTTCAGCTTTCTGCCCGCCCCCCCTACCACCACCCCGCAATTTATTTTTAGGTACTGGACTGGGGATTGAACCCAGGGGTCCCTTTACCACTAAGCTACATCCCCAGCCCTTTTTGTTTTTTATTTTGAAACAGGGTCTTGCTCTGTTGCCCAGGCTGGCCTGGACCTTGAGATCTTCCTGCCTCAGCTTCCTGAGTTGCTGGAATGACAGGTGTGTGCCACCACACCCAGCTATGTTTAGCTTTTTGAGAAACCAAAACCCTTATATTTCTCTGCCATCCATAGGCTAATAGAAAAGCATATAAGCCTGTCTTGGGAAGAAAAGAAATAACTGCCACAACATAACTTTAAATTGCAAATGATAAAATTATCAGCTAAGAGACTTAGGCTTGCTCTCAGGGGTACAGGCTCACCTGGATATTGTAACATGTGTTTACAGAGTTATGTGGCAATATGGAAAATCTGAAAATGAACAAGGATCCACACAGTCTATGCAAAATGATTTAGGAAGTGCAGAATGCTTATTTTTTGTAAGACTCAATATCAGGCTTCAAGAGGGATAGATGGAAATATTAAAAAAAAAAAGATGTTCTTCTCATGAGTTATTAGGAGTCTAACTGGTATAATAAGACCAACTTAGTAAAAAAAAAGTTTAATAATTAATTACAGATTTAAATGCAAGTTCAAGATAGTAATAGAAGCGAGGTGTGATGGCATATGCATATAATCTCAGCATCTGGGAGGCTGAGGTAGGAGGTTGGTAAGTTTGAGGCCGGCCTCAGCTATTTAGCAAGATCCTCAGCAATTTATCGAGATCTGTCTCAAATAATAATAATAGTAATAATAATAGCAACAACGATGAAGACTAGACTGGGGTGTAGTTCAGGGGTAAGGTGTCCCTGGTTTCAACTCCCCAATCAAAAGAAAGGCAAGGGGAAAATAGATAAGGTACCTCTCTCTCTCTCTCTCTCTCTCTCTCTCTCACTCTCCGATTGAATCCAGGGATGCTTTGCCACTGAGTTACATCCCCAGCTCTTTTTATTGTTTATTTTGAGACAGGATCTCACTAAGTTGCTGAGGTTGGCCACAAATTTGTGATCCTTTTGTCTCAGCCTCCACATGCTGGGGTTAGAGGCACGTGCCATCATACCAGCCGTATTATCTCTCTTTCAGGATCCTGGGAGAAAACAGAAATCCAAAGTACACTCTGACAATTTCTGGCATCCCAAAGATGTAAGAGTTCTCATTTTTATTACTGTCTTGGAAATCTTAGATCAAAAAAGAAGTATTAGATTATAAAAAATCATCAGGACCACTGAACTAGATAAATATTAATAATTACCAATATTTGAGAACTTAATGTACCAGGCATTGCTTTAAACATGCTTAATAACTTTATGATATAAATACTGCTACCATCTTCTTTTAATGATAAGGAAAATGAGAACCAGAGAGTAAAGAGCCCAAAGACATATAGTTAGAAAGTGGCAGAACGGGTTTGAATACAGGCAGTCCAGAGCTTATACATTTGAGTATCTCAGTTTTAGACATTGGCTTCAATCTCCAATTATAATTGGAGGAAATAGACACAAAGGTGTTGAGGGACTTCCCGTAGAGACAAGAGTCCCATTACCTGCTATTCCAGTCTATTTCTGTAAAGACTAATATTGGCTAGGTGCAGATGTGCACACCTATAATCCCAGCTACATGGGAGGCTAAGGCAGGAGGATCCACAAGTTTGAGGCCAGCCAGGGCAATTGTATCCAGAGTCTGTCTCAAAATAAAAAAAATGAATGGTAGGCACAGTTGAGTATGCCTATAATCCCAGGGACTCAGAAGGCTGAGGCAGAAGATTGCAAGTTCAAGGCCAGCTTGAACAATTTAGCAAGGCCCTAAGCAACTTAGACTCTGTTTCAAATAAAAATAAAAAGTTCTCGGGGATAATATGCAGTGGTAAAGTACTCCTGAATTAAATCTCCTCTAACTACCCACCACACACCCAAAATCAAAGGGGCTATGGATATAGCTCAGTGGTAGAGAGCCACTGTGTTCAATCCTCAGCAGGAAAAAGAAAAAAAAAAAAAAAGACTAATATTGGGTATCACCAGAAAGCCCTGTCTTAAAATGCTATTTGGAAGTGAGCCAGAAGGATCCACATTTACTGAATCTGGCAGGATGAACTAGAGGAAAAAGCTCTTGATGTATACAATAAGGCAACCTGAATTCAAAGCCGCATTTTATTCGCTGGCTGTATTAGGGTAGGCAAGCCACAACCTTTGGGCTCCAATTTCTTTACCTCTGATCTGGGGGCAATAATCACCTCCATTTCCAGGATTACAGGAATGAGATGAAATAATTGAGGAAACTGACAGCCGTGATTCATTTGGGGGCTGGGGGGGATATTGGGGGAGGGGGGTCATTTGGTGCTGAAGTGTATGGAGTGCTGTGTAGGCTGAGATTTCTCAATTCCAGAATGGAATGCAGATTGCTCACAGGTTGCTACAGAGAATTCCGGATTGCAAACTGGGTGCAGTGGTACACACCTGTAATCTCAGCTGCTTGGGAGAATTGAAATTTTTTTTTTTTTGTACCAGAGATTAAATCCAGGGCACTTAACCACTGAGACACATCCCCAGCCACTTTTTAACTTTTTTTTTTTTTTTTTTTGAGATAAGGTCTGAGTTGCTTAGGGCCTGACTAAATTGCTGAAGCTGGTTTTGAAATTGTGATCATCCTGACTCAGCCTCCCAGGCCTCTGGGATTACAGGTGAGTGCCACTCTGTCTGGCTAGTGACATGTTTTCTATGATAAGTTATGCAGCTTTTTGTTGGTGGTGGTTTGTTAGTTTTGTGGTGCTGGATATCAAACACAGGGCCTCATGTTCTACCACAGAGCCACACTTCCAGCCCTGTGACTCTGTGTTAAGAGACTCTTAATGGTAACTGGTCAAGAGTTTGTTTTCCCATGTTTCTGGCCAAGCAAATGTTTGTAAATTTGCATCTGATGGAATATTACAGACAATCTGCACTTGCCAACTTGCCAGGGGCCAGAGGCCAGGTGAAGGCTGCTCAGGTGAGATGGTTTACATGCAGGTTGAAGTTCAATAGTGAATCTCAAAGCTAGGTTGAGCCTGGGCATGAGTATTTTTAGGGAGTTACTCAGGTGATTCTAATGTGCAGCCAGGGTTGAGTACCACTGACCTAGGTGAAAGGCCTGTGCCAGGGTCTAATTCAAAGCACTGATAGGTATGCAAGACCAAGGACTCTTGTAGCCCCAATTGACTGGTTTTAGAATGGGTATCTGGATAGGCATGGTGAAGAATGAGGCTAGAGTAGGTATTATAGAGGGCCCGAAATGCACAGATGGAAGTTTATATCAAATTTAAGAGGCAATAGGGAGCCATGAAAGATGATTGAGCAGGGATGTCAGTGGGTAGAAGTATAGCTTGTGTGTCCCTTATCCAAAATGTTTGGTATCAGAATTGTTTAGGATTTCTGATTTTGAAATATTTGCATATACATAATGAGATATCTTAGGGATAGGATCCAAGTCTAACAACAAAATTCATTTGTTTCACACCCACCTTAAACACATAGCCTGAAGGTAATTTTAAATATTTTTAATGCACCTGCATTTCGCCTGTGACCCATCGCATGAATTCAGTTGTGGAATTTTCCACTTGTGGCATCATATTGGCACTCAAAAAGTTTTGAATTTTGGAGCATTTGGGACTTCAGACTTTTTTTTTTTTTTTTTTGGATTAGAAATGCTCAACTTGCAAACACAGATATAAAAGCACCCAGCAATTTAAGTTTAGGAAATGTATTTTATTTTTCCATATAGAGTAAGCTAGCAAGAAACCAATCTTTCTTCCTCTTCTGTGGTCCAAGGTCAATTCTATTCAGCACCTGAGGTCCAGGAATCCCTTGAGAGCAGGAACTTTTCCAAATGATGTCGGTAGTACCTTACACATTGCACGGGACATGACAGTTTCCTAACTAGTATTTGTTGACTGACCAAATGAGTGTCGCCTCATCAGTTGGTAGGTCTAGATTCCCGCAGCGCTGTACCCTGAACTGGCCTTCATTTGCATGGAAAGCTAAGGGCACTGGTTCTCTCACCTTTCGCCCTTCTTCCGTTTATCCCCATCGACCCGATTCCAATTCTACCAACTCCGACTCCATCTCCCTCTCCTCCCAGCCTCTTCCCTCCAATACGACACGGTGCCTCCTGGCATCTCCGCTCAGGCGCCAGGGTTCAAACCTGTCTTTCACCCATTGTTCAGTTTCTGGTGAGTCAAGTTCAACCCCAGGTTCAACCACTACAATGACGGTCACAAACACGTTCCTCCACAGACACCTTGATGGCAGAGCGCGTCGGTCCGCCACCCAGCATCAGGCCTGCGAAACAGGCACGGAGGGGCGTTTCCCTCCCAGAGCACTGGGTGGCGGGGGCATGCGTGGGAGACCCTCTCCCCAGCGACTTGGCCCCTCCGCGAGCTGGCGCTCAGCCCTCGGCGGGCGTGGCCGCCCTGGCCCAGCCCCCGTCCCGCCCCCCGTCATCTCCCAGAGAGTCCCCGCCCGGCCACCCGGCCGCCAGCCCCTCTCCACGTCCGCCCGGCCCCTCCCTCCCTCGCTCGCCGCCGAGTCCCGCGGAGGGGGGATGCTCCGGGTCCCACCTCCCCGGGGAGCTGCGCATTTCCGCGCACCAGGGCGGCCCTGGCTCCGGCCGGCCCTCGCGGCGACAGCCCGCGTTCCGCGTCCCCGGGAAGTTGTCTCCGGAGCCCGGGGCCCCTGGGTCTCCTCCCCCTGAGCCCCGCCCCCTCGCCCGGAGCTGGGATCTGCAAGCTGCCCGGCCCGGGGGCGTCGCCGCTCGCTCGGCGAAGCCAGCGAGTGTCTGCTTCTCTGCGCGGATCGCGCGTCCCCTGCCTGACCGGGGACCCCCGCGCACCCCAGACACGGCGCGCGCTCAGAGCGCGGGAGCCCGGGGCTCCGGGCGCCTGGGATCCCGCGGAGCCGCTGCCCAGCCCGCGGGGCTCGGCAGGGATGCAGTCTGCGCTGTGAGCCCGGGCGCCAAGGCCATGTCCGGCACCCGCTGCCGGACCCTTTACCCCTTCTCCGGGGAGCGGCATGGCCAGGGGCTCCGCTTCGCCGCGGGTGAGCTTATCACGCTGCTGCAAGTCCCGGACGGAGGCTGGTGGGAAGGCGAGAAGGAGGACGGGCTCCGCGGCTGGTTCCCGGCAAGCTACGTGCAGTTGCTGGAGGTAAGGGGCGAGGGCCAGGGTGGAAAGACTCCCCCGGCTGCGGTCCCTCGGGTGCCGGCATACCTGTTGACCACGGCGGGGATCTGTTGCTGTCCCTGTAGAGGGACGCCCCTGGGGGCAGATCTGCTCGACCGACCCACCTGCAACTCCGCGTTCCTGGGGACGGAGAAGGCAGCGCGCACCCCTGCAGGCGTGGGCATCGCGAGCTCCACAGGAGCGCTCCCCTCGCGCGGGGCCTCCCGAGCCCATTGGCCGCTCCGAAGAAGCTAGAACTTGTTGCCTGTGCGAGTTCTGGAACAGGCGGGCGCGGTGCCGGCGGTGGCAGGGCCCGCCTAAGGGCTGCACAGACCTGGTGGTCTTGGGAAGACACAGGGAGAATCCGGGGTTCTGAGAAGTAGCCCGGCTTGTCCAGCCTGGATCCCGGAGCCCGCTGACCCGTGGACACAGTTGTGCTGTCCCGGGTCAGACTGCCTGGCTGCCTCTGGGCCGTCCACTTGCTGGTCCGCGGAGCTTTACTGGCCACCAGTGGGAGCCTCATCCATCAGCGGTCTTATTTCAGGGGGTGCGGCAGCCCCCAGCCAGAGCCCCCCTCCACTGGGCTCAGAACCTGAAAGTGCTATTTCCTGGGGTTCTGGCTTGGCCCCAGGGCTACCCAGGACCTGCTGAGCAGAGTCAGCTGGCTGTTTATTGTCTGGGTGACAATTGGGAGGCCTCACTGTTCTGTAATCACTGAGATCAGGGTCAGTGATTACTGAGATCAGGGCCTGAGTGAGTGAGATCCAAAGTTTCTGAAGTCCCCTGTGTGTGTGTGTGTGTGTGTGTGTGTGTGTTGGGGGGGGTGTGACTTTACAGGACACCCCCTTTTCTAAAAGGCTGTCTGACCCCAGGATTGCTCTAAAGACAAAATTAATGGTTACCCCCAATTGTGTTTAAGTATCAGTAAGCATTCATATGACCAGTCTTCCCCTATCATGGAGATTGTATTTATTTATGCTTTTTTACCCTCTTTCCCAAAGAACAAAGTAGCAGATTTTAAATAAAAATGACCCATTCAACTCATGGCCTGGAGGGGTAGGGGGAGAAAGGGATAGAGATGGTTACAGAGGAGGGAGACTGCCTGAGTAGTATTCTGTGGCAACATTATCAAAAATAATACCTGGCCACCTAAAGGTACATGATATTTCTCTCAGGTCCAGAAGAGAACAACAAACTCTCTCCCAAATGGATTAGTACCATCTGAGCAAAGTTTAGGGGCTATTTCTGCTGCAGTCTGGAATGAGCTTTGGTGGCTGTTAGCAAGAGTATATTTGGGAACTCTGGGTTCTATGTTTGGAGTACCTGTACAGTAAGGGAGGCACAGGTGTGTGGCTTTGATTTTCCTGGTTCTTTCCTGACATTCAAGATGTACAAGAAACACAGATCATACTGCTTTTGATGGGAAGATCCGGAGCCTCTTGATTGTAGCTCCAGAGCCCTGGGAGAGACGCATATTTTGGGAGTTGTTCTGGTGGCCACGTTTTCTCAGGAAATACTGATGTGGAAATTTGGCTATAGTGGATGTCTGTCCGGTGAGGAGTGTCCCTGGCTGGACTCAGTCAGCTGTTTTGGGTGGGGGCAAAGCTTAGTGTGTGTTAGTAAGAACCAAGTGACTCTGCTCTTCCTTGGGAGGGGAAGAGAGGAAGGATCAGGCCCAGGGGACAAAGCAAAATTATCAGATGGGACAGACTTGTGTGTGACAGTCACATCCCCTGGCATTTATAATAGGTCTAGGAAATCTCTGATGTATAAAGATTTGTCAGACCACTCCCAGCGAGTGACCCGCTGCAGAAGTGCTCATGTATGTTTGAGGCCACTGAGAGGGACCTTGGTTTGTTGAGCACCTACTAGGCACTGGGTGTGGTACGTACATTATCACCAGTTCCCCTGATCAGGGGAGGAAGAGTCTAGATCTATGTGGAAAAGGGCAAGTACAGCCCCCAAGGTCAGCATGCTGTCACAGCATCCCTAAGGGGAGGCTTAAATGTTAGGGCTAAGAGAGAGGGATGGCTAAAATATTGAATGGGACTCTCTTCAGGGCTAAAGCTGATGCAGTTGCAACAGGAAGAATCGTGGATCAAACTCTGTATCTGGGGACCTCCTACATGAGCAAGCTGGACTACAAGGCTGAGGATTGGTAGAGATAGAAGATAATGCAAGTAGAGTCCATTGGGATGGGTCAAATCCTCAAAGTCCTGTGATGTCAGCCAGGGGGCACCTGACACTGAGCTCACTGGGGGAATGAAGTCTGGGTTTACATCTCCTCCCAGAGGTCAGGAAGGCTATTGGGGGTAGGGATGCATGCTGGGTCCACAGCTGAGAAAGGTCTCTCCAGGGTCCCCTCGACTCCATTGTGACTCTTGCCCTATGATGGAAAGAATGACACCAGAAAGGCCCATCTTGCTGGAGACGTGTAAGGCACTGACTAGGATGTGTGCAAAATGGATACTCACCGAGGATTTCTTCCTTGTTTGGGTGAAGAAAGGGGAAGTGAGAGGCCCTGGCTTTGCAAGAAGCCTACACTATGGAGGGGAGTTGGGAACTAATCTGAGAGGGTTGCTAGATCTGCCCTGGTGGTCAGCCAACTCCGGGAAGGAGGCCAGGGTGGTGGAGGACCTGGTTACTGTGCAAATCTCTTTGGTCAGGACTCAAAGATAAGTGGCAAAGTGGTCAGCACACCCAGGCTTCCAGAGGATTCCAGGAATATCTTAGCCCAAACGGAGAAGCGTGGAAGGGCTCTGGTAGGCTCAAGGACTCTGGCCATTAGAGTCCTGGCTACTCAGGGTGTGGTGCAAAGAGGAATGAGGCCTGTATGAGTCAGGTTTCCATTACTATGACGAAACACCTGAGATGGGCAACTTTAAAGTAGGAAAGGTATATTTGGCTCACATTTTTAGGGTTTTCAGTCTCTGGTTGGTTGAGCCCATTGCTTTGGGGCCTGTGGTGAGGCTTCCCTCCTCTATCTGGTTCCTCTAGGGGCTGGTTGATGCATAATGGTGGGGAACATAATGGTGGGGAGTATGTGATGAAGCTGTTCAGCTCATGGTGCATTCTGGGAAGCAAAGAGAAAGAGAGACAGGAAAAGGCCAGGGTCCCAAGAGCCCTTTCAAAGCCACATTCCCCATGACCTAACTTCCTCCAATTAGGCTCCACCTCCTACTAAAGGCGTCACCACCTTCCAGTGGTGCCTTGGGCACAAGTGAACCTCTGATGTATGGGCCTTTGGCGGACATGTAAGTTCTTCAGCGTGAGGAGATGTAAACCCAGATGGCAGATTGGAGCTGTATAAAGAGAATGAAGAACACAGCAAAGGGTAACTATGTGGATAAACAGTCATATATAAAAAGTTTTAACATTTTTTTCTTTGAAATATTCTTGACTATTTATTTATTTTTTCTCTACTGGGGATTTGAACCCAGAGGTGCTCTACCACCAAGCTATATCCCCAGACCTTTTAAATTTTATTAATTTTTAGACAGGATCTCCCTTATTTGTCAAGACTGGCCTTGAACTTGGGATCCTCCTGCCTCAGCCTCCTGAGTTTCTGGGGTTACAGGTGTGCACCACTGTATCTGTCTGGGGGACATTAAAGATTCTACCAGCCAAGACCTGTAGCCGGCTATGGAATGTAAAGGTCCTTAGTTAAGAGCAACTACAGGAATCTTTCCTGGGAGTGTCTTTAGTCATGGAGAGAGAGAAGGGTAGAGCAGTCTTCTAATATCATGGTAGGGCCATGGTAGAGGAGGAGCTGGTCTTGTGAAAGAGACCTGAGTCCAGAGCCAGGAGGCTGTGGAGTGTGTTCTGCCAGCCCCGAGACAGGCCCCAGATCATGTCCACAGACCTGGGGCCCCCGTGTGTGGGAGATTTCCACCAGTCCTGCAAGATGCATCAACCAGCTCCTGGAGGAACCAGATAGAGGAGGGAGACCAAATCTCCATCCTAGGGAAGACCTGGAGAGTCAGGCATGGGATCAGGACAGGTGCTGTGGCTAGTCATGTCCAGTGGTTATAGGGCTGAATGGGGCCCAGGAGTTCCTCAGAGCCTGCTCTTACTTGAACTGGAGAGAAGAAATTAGGGACCTAGAAGATGCCATAACACATCTGCAAAAACTCGCAGAGCTTTTGGGAAATAATTTTGGATGGGTAATAAGATTGGAATGCAAATACAACAGAACTTTTCTTTAAGTAGGTGCTGTTGTTAGAATCCATGGTCTAGCTGGAAGGCCTAGATCTCAGGGGCACTGCTGTGGTTTGAACGTGATGTGACTTTATTCTCTCTCTCTCTCTCTCTTTTCCTGGGGCTGGGGTTCAAACCCAGTCCTTGAATATGCTAGGCAAGTTTTCTATCACTGAGTTACACCCCAGTTCAGAAACTTCATTCTCAGTGCAGCAGTATTGGGGGGTGTTTAGGTCATGAGAGCCCACCCTCACAAGTGGATTGATGCCAGTTATAAAAAAGGCTTGAAGCTGGCTGTCGTGGTGTGTGCCTGAAATCCCACCTACTGAAATGCTGAGGCAGAATTGGCCAGGTTTCCATTACTCTGTGCAACTTAGGGAGACTCTGTCTCAAAAAAAAAAAAAAAAAAAAAAGGCCGGGTGTGGTGGTACACACCTGTGATCCCAGTGGCTTGGGAGGCTAAGGCAGGAGGATTACAAGTTCAAAGCCAGCCTCTGCAAAAGTAAGGCACTAAGCAACTCAGTGAGACCCTGTCTCTAAATAAAATACAAAATAGGGCTGGGGATGTGGCTCAGTGGTCGAGTGTCCTTGAGTTCAATCCCACTATAAAAAAAAAAAAAAGGAATTTAAAAAAATGTCTGAGTCTGCAAGTTTAAGTACTTGCTCTTTTTCTGTTCTGCCTTCTGCCATGGGATGACAGAGCAAGACCTTCAGCAGATGCCAATACCTTGACTCTGGACTTCCTAGCCTCTAGAACTGTAAGAAATACATTTCTTTAACAAATTACC